ACCGAATACGAGAGAGAAGAGACAAAGGGGAAAGGACGGACAGAGAGAAAGAGGGAAAGAGAGAGTGTGTGAGCACGGGAGGACGAGGATGGCAGGGCAGGACGATCCGGGAGGTAAAGCCGTTATTGCCAAAAAGGATAATGCGAGGGAAGATTAAATTTTTTTCGACCCGCCCTTTCGAGCTCCACCGACCGCGTGATCACGCTTTGCTGCTTCTCGTGTTGTACACTGTGTACACTTTTCGGGGGATGCGCTCGCTGCCTCCCTCTTCTCCCGTCGTCACCCTTCCCGAGCATCACGCTTTTCGTAGCCCATTTCCGACGGAGTAAGCCTCGCAATAATTTTAGATTATTCTCAAAAATCACGTTGATATCGCATAATTTGTCATTTTAATTATTTTAAAGTCTCTGTTTCAATCCCAAAAAATCTGACATCTTTTATAGCGGTATAATATATATGTATATATATATTTTTTGGAAATAATATTTAAGAATAATTGCGATTGTAACTTTTAATAAATTCTCGCACTTTTTTGAAAAAACATTTATTTGCGACTTGGTAGAATTGATATAATTAATTCGATCTTATCTACAATGAGTCGAACGACCGAACGTTAAAATTATGAAAACAACAAATTTGTCATCAGTTAAAAATATTTAATTGCTACTTAATAACTATTCGTATAGTAAATAATGAATCGCGAAACCTGTTCTTTGGTATGTGAACGATTGCAGGATTAAACGATGCGATTAGAGTCCTATTAAGTGGTCGTAGGAGACGCATCACGAGGCTCGCGCGCGACAGATAAAATATAATTTATATTTATACCGCGTAGTGCTGCGTATACGTTGTCGTGAGTCCCCTCCGGGTTTTTTGGGCCTGTTCGAGGTATAAATAATTGTCTCCGGTTTTCGCCGCCGGAGGCGGGCAATTCATAACTCAGGACGCGCTCTCTGTTGAGTCCCTAATTTCCGAAATGCGGAAGGTTGACCGCTACTTTTAGAAAAGGCGGAGGTACGCTATTTCGTGCGGCCGTGGACACTAATACGACTAATAAAATATCGAAACTTATTGAAATATCAGTCGCAATAATTGGCGACAAATCTACTACACGTACGATAATTTCGGCCGCTGGAGAGAAAAGACGCGTAGTTTTGACCAACATGCGTTAAAACTCGCAATAAAAAAACGGATATTATCAAGAGAAATTTAGTCGTGGTATTCAATAAAATTCTTATATGGAAATTTCATCATCAATATATCTATGTATATAATAGACTGTAGCCTTTATATTTTATGTATATGTATATAAAGAGAAATGTCTTCTCTATTCCAAAAAGGGTTTATACATTTCGAAAATAGGACTTGCTATCGAGAAACCGACCTTCAGCAATGAAACTCTCTTGACGGATGCAAAACCGAGAGCGACTCCCAATGGCCGTACGCCCGAGAATTTCGCTCTTCAATGGAGAATATAAAATTATTAGAATTAGATTTAAGGAGGATAAAAACTCCCAAGCACTTAAGCCAGTAATCTAACGAGCATCTCGTGTACTATTCGTCCGTACTTTTTCCCCAGACTTACTTCATCATTTCCTCCGTGGTTTTCAACTTACGTTTCTCTTTATCTTGAATAAATTAATCCAAGAACTTTCACGCTAATACTGATATACTGTTTATATAAATGAAAAACATCGCTTTCTCTTTTTCTACAAATTCTCTCTCTCTCTCTCTCTCTCTCTCTTTCTTAGAAATAGCGATGCATTTCGTTCATTTACTGCAATCTGCATAATTACATTTTATTTCATTTCATCTACTTGTATAATTATTCTCTCTCTTTTTTTTCCCTTCTTTCTTTTATTCGTCCTGTAAAAAAAAAGCCATGTCGACGGTGCTTGGCAGTGCTCTCGCGGCTTGGCATTCCACGATCCCCGGGTCCGCCATTGGCTTCTCTCGCCCGCATCAATTAGGTATTTTAATCGGAAAGGCACCGCGGAATAGTTGCGATACTACAACGGCGCGCATTTACGATACGTGCGCACAGGCAGTCAGGCAGGCATACCCGGAGAATTGGAACGTGGTTGCGTTAACATAATGGAATTCCGCGGAATGTTATAACCATTATATATACGTATAGCGGATTACGTCACGGTGCGCGGCGGGGCCGGCGACGTGTGCGCCCTGAGAAGAGAGAAAAAAAAATAATGCCGCTTACTCGGTCGCTCACTTTAATTTCCTAGATTGAACTCGACTGACGGCGCGGAGTCAGTCTTGCTCCGTGCTTTTTCGCGAATAAACGGCGTGTCCCTCCCACGAAGCGCAAGCATTTCTTCCAGTATCGCCCGATACTTTGCACGGTCCCGAAAACCCGGACGTGAAAATTTAAACGTCCCCGCGTTTAAGTTTCACCGCAGACCGCTATATCTCGCCGAATGTGCATTTTCCGAATGTACGTATAAGACGCGCCGAGTGAAGGTGACAGTTCGTGTAATCGAATAAATCCGACTGCGCCGATTGCGCGCATTCGTCGGGTGGGATGATAATTAAACTTATTTAACTTTCCAGTTAGCTGTGGAACTCGATATTCCCATATAGATATTCTCATGTAACGTTAGATATTCATATATTAAGACTTTTATCCTACTTATCGGATTATGTTACATAAACAACATAAAAACGTTACTGCCGATGTAAATTTTAATAATATATGTATACGTGTATTATACACATCTGGATAAGATAAACCTTGAATAATGCGTCAGAGTGTTTATTATTTCCGACTGTGGAATTCTAGACAACAGTTTTTACAAGTAAAATATATGCATACGATCATTTTTAATTTAATCAAGATAGCGAGTAATCCGCGCAACGATCGTTTTATTGATACAAATAAGCATAATTACACGCTCCGTATCGCGAAAGGGAATGAACGTGAACGTTACTGAGAGCAAAGAGAAAAAGAGAGAGAGAAGGAGAGAGGGAGAGAACATATTTTGTTAAGCGAAGTTAACTGTTCGGCCCAAGTCGGCGCAGCCTGCCCCCTATGTCCGACGGTCGTCGTGCTAGTTACAAAACGGCTTGTAACTAGCCGCACGCTTAATAACTTGCACCGGTAGCGGACGATAAATAATGCAGGAGACACCGTCGTCCCGATGTAATTAACGAGAACAGTCGATACCCCAGGCATGCTCGCGCGCGCGCGCGCGCGTGTGACCGGCGTGTGTGCGTGCGGACGCGTGTTTGTGTCACGTACGCGCGCGAACGCGAACGAGCGCGGTCAATATTTGTCATCCGCTTTAACAAAAAGAACGTTACAAAACGCTCGGCCGGATGCACCCCGGCCAAATATTGACTGCGCTCATTGACGTTCATTGATACTCTCAATTAGCGCATACCGTCGAAGCCAATCGCCGGGTAATTGGGATGGCCCTCCACCTCCGTCCGCGGAAAAGCGCGCGGGGGTCTCTCTCTCTTTCCCTCCGCCGTCATTTTCCCCTCCCCTTCCGCTCTCCCTCCCTTCTCGCGTGTCCGCGCGACCGTCAGAAGCGCGAACGGTTTCGGCGCGAAAACTCGTCCCGCGCTTGTATAATTGGCGGCCGCCGGCGCCGCGCGTCTCGAGTACACCCGTGACTTTTCCGTCGCGAAAGAGCGGCCAATTATACGGGATTGCCATAGATACGGGAGAGCCGTTGCCTTCCTCGAGGATCGCCCGGGTCGGTCGGTCAGGTCATTTGCCTTGACTAGGACGAACGCGTGCCTTAATGACGTGAGGCGCGCGCGGAACGCAAACCACCGCGCGCTCTCGTTAACGATCAGTCGAGGCTGCGGCTGCCTCGGCCAACGGAGGGAAACATCTTCGTTTTCTATCGGGGAAAATTGCGTTCGCGCGATTTCGGGTTAACCGCCCCGGAGCGCGCGAAAGTTTCGATCCAGAGAGGAAGTTTGCCGGGAGTTCGCTCGGGAGAGAGAAATACCCGTCGTTTCTTATTTCAATTCGGCGGCACGTTTCTGACCGGCGCGGCGGAGGAAACTTTTAATTGACCCTCCCGTTGTCGAATTATTTCTAAATGTTAGACAAATATTGGAATGTTTCTCTTAACTCATATTTATTTTATCCAATATTGGAATAAATTCAAATGTATGCGCGTGCGCGCAAATTACTAGTTACGGCGCGGAAATTTATTTATCGCTCGTTTATTTAACGTCAGATCAATAAAATTAGGCTCGTAATGCAATTTAGTAACGTATCATAATTTAAATTGGAAAATACATTTTATAAATCTCTAATCTATGAATATAAATCTAATATATGTACAGCTGAAGTCCGTAAAAGCTTTCCACCCAGCATTTATATCTAGCAGAACTAATCAATTTTTTTTTATTCATTTTTACATACATTTCTTGAATCGCGAAGATCTAACGTTACTTCTGACGGAAATGCTGTTTTTATTCTCGTTAACAAGCAAGTGTAATTCTGACGATTTTTTTGTTCTTCCTGCATATTATTTCTACTAATTTATCTTCGGCAAGAAGTAATATTCTGCCGTCATAAAAACAGGAAAGCTACATTCAGCGCATCGGAATACATATCTGAGTGATTCGACGTTATCACAGACATAAAAATCTTCTAATTACAACACTCCATGCAATTACGGAATTCTTGTTGTACAATTTGCATCGAAAATTACATATTAGCACTGACGCGTGCAAAAACAAATGTCCGTCCCGGGGAAAAAGGATTAATCGCAAGAAATAGTATCATTCTTACCGATAAAGAAAGATTCATTTAGCAATAATTTTCATACGCACGTGCACACGCATAATGCCGTGATGCAACAGTTATGCGTAAAAGCTTTTTCGCGCTTAGAACGATAATCATTGATGCATTCAAATCTTTTAACATTTAACGCAGATTTAACTTAATCCTCTCGCGAATTACGGGAAGCCACTTTTTTCACGTTAATGGTATTAACATAACGCTCTCTGAGTGCCAGCGCTAATTATTCTCCTGATAATTTTCGCGAAGAAGCTGCTCTATTACTTGCATTACCGAGATCTGACGTATTATTTTTCAAATAACGAACTTTTTCTCTCGCATTACAAAATATAGAAAGGGGGATCATAGATAAATAAAGAACTCGACTCACCCTTTCCTCCTCCCGAATCATCTCCGCGATGCCGGGCTTGATCTCGAGGTCGTCACCGGCGCCAGACTGATTGCCGGCACTCTGCTGATGATGCTGCTGCTGTTGTTGTTGCTGCTGTTGCTGTTGTTGCTGTTGCTGTTGCTGCACGCTGAGCTGTTGGCCGTGGCCGCCCAGGTGGTTGACGGGCGCGTGCGGACCGGAAGTCACGTGGCCGGGCACGTGGTGGGTCGGCATGGGGTGCGAGCTCTGCTGTCCCTGCGGCGGTGGCGGCGGGGGTGGTGGTAGGGGCAGCGAGACCGGAAGTTCCTGCAGGTTGATCTGCGGCGTGACGGAGATGCTGGGCATGCTGGGCGTGCTGGGCGAGCCGAGGGACCTCGGGGTCGAGCTAGCAGTTGACGGCACCATGCTGTGAATCTCGGGCACGACGATGTTGCTGCCGATGACATCCTGATCGTCGGGGCCGATGCTGCCGGAGCCAACGCGTTCCGGACTGTTGCCGGACGGTGAGCGCTCGCCGGACATCCGACGACGCTTATTTTTCCGCTGCAACGCCGCGGTCGCGACCTCTTCCAGAGTCGGCCTGGACGTCAGCTCCTGCTCGCTGTTGACGTCCGCGAGGCCGCGGATCTTGAGACTCTCCGCGACCTTAAGCAAGGGCCCGATTTGCTCCTGGGAGACATTGATCTCGCCCTTGTACATGAATTCGACCGCGGCCTTGAGCTCCGGCCATTTAATATCCTTCATGATAACGATCGGATGCTGGCAGGGGTTGTCGAAGAAGAGCGCCTGGAAGTACGGGCTGCAGGCCGACAGGACCATCTTGTGGGCCTTGACGCTATGCCCGTCGCAGGCCAGGGTCACGTCCACGAAGCTCTCGCTCTGTAGAAGCTGATCGAAGACGTTGGTCAGATTGGTCTGATAATTGTTCCAGCGCAGACAGAACTGCTGGGGTGACCCAGCGCCGCTTTGTTGCGTCATGATCGCACGTGATGCACCTTCCGCTCGTATTTCTCGGAGAGGAGTATCTCTTGCTCCACTATTTCGCCAGGCGATTCTTTCCTTTTACGCTTTCTCCACTGTTCTTCCTCTTCTCGTCTTTTCGTCTCTTCCTCCAGTCTCCTCCTCGTGGTGCGTCTCGCCTCGGCTTCTCGGCAACGTTCACCTTGATCGGATCAGCAACGAGGCCGCATCTGCAACACACACATGCACAGCCACACGCAAAATCTCCAGATGTCCGCGCGAAACGACGCGGGGAGAGTGTGAGCTTTATCCGCGCGCCTCGTGGCAACGTGCGCGGAACTGTCAGACGCGAACCGACGCGGGCGTCATCGTCCCGTTGGGACGTCGCGGTCGAGCATCTTTCAGCCTAGCTCCGAAACGTGGCTCGGAAATACACCGTACTCTAATCCACTCCCACCGCTTTTGAAAAAGTTAGAGTTCGCCTTGTCTTCCCCAACGAAGCATCATACACGACGGGGGGTCTCCCGAGGGATCAGAATAATCCCGAGACGGGAGGAGGGGGGAACACGTCTATCCTATGTCGATGCACCACGCGGCACACTTAATCTTTACTCTCCCTCTCGCTGTATCTTCTTTCTCTCTCTTTTTATTTACAGTGTCTAGCTACTGTCACTTATTTTAGTCTCATCGAAAATGTCTCTATCGCGGTCAGGCGCGTATTGTTCAAGAGAGAATCAGACTTCACCATCAACCACCCACCACCAACCACCTCGAAACGCGACAACAACGATCACGACGACGACGTTGTGGTTTCCGCGACGAAAACGCGCGTTACGGATAATACGGGATACGAATGCGAAACGCGGTAAATGCCGTGCGACGTACGGCGGCCGACTGTCCGCGTGAGAAGCGCGTGCTGCGCGCGGCGAAGGGTGTCGAAGCGACGAACGACGTACGATCTGCACCCCGTGACGAGCGCGTCGCGACTGAGAGGGCCAGCAACGCGGCGGCGGTTCGCTCGAACGGCAGTGGTGGCACCGTGCGCGGCGCAGCGCTTCGCGGCAGCGGCAACGGCAGCGGCAGCAGCGGCGACGGCGGCGGCAGCGGCGGCGGCGGTGGCGGTGGTGCGGCCGATATCGCGCGCGCTCGTCGCGTGAGGACGC